TTTCGGCCTGTGTTTGGCCGGGTAACCGTATCCAGCCCAGGGCCTGCTTCACATTCATTTACACAAGCGGCCCAGGGCCTGGATTCATTCAACCAACTGGCGCAACGCAACTGTCTGAATTTCCCCGATGCGGGGTACCTTGAAGAATGAGGTCCGAAGGGCCTGTCGTGCCTGCCTTCACTTAGGGCGGCCGACCTTGTTGCAGATAGGGCCCCATAGGGGCTAAGCGGGCGTAGCCTCGCATTCCCTCCTCGATATCTTCGTTAGTCCTCTGCGAAGATCAATCTTGAGCCATCTGGCGCTTCCCTTTCAATACATCCTTCTCATAGCGGGCAACGATTTGAGGAGCGGTCTGCATCAATTCCTCCCGAGTAAACCAGCGGTCCTCTTTCGGATCCGTGTGATGTCTGAAGTGAACACGGAACTGCAGTTTTGGCTTTGGAGGATTCCCCTTCCTGGAGGCTTTTGAACAGGCATCTCCCTGTGATCGACGATATCATCGATGTCGACTTCTCCGTCCATGGTTGGGGGTAGCATTGACCGCCGAGAGGGAAACTGATCAGTTTCCTCGAACGCAGCGAGCTTAGAGGCGTGAAAGAGAGGGTGAGTTCTGAGATGACCAGGGATACGGATGACATATGATCGACCATCATGATCTGTCCCTACTATGTCTAGAACTTCCCAAGGCCCAAAGTACTGAGGCATGAGTTTGCGGGATATTCCGAACTCCTGTTCCAGTTCTGAAGACTTGACCCAGACTCTGTCCCCAACCTGGAATGTAGAAGGGCGGCGGTGTCTATTCTCAGACTCTATTATTGCTGCCTGCGCCTTCTGCATGTGTTTTACAACCTCCTGCATCTTCTGTTCATATCTATAGGCGAACTCCAAAGTGCCCGGTGTAGCAGTTGTCTGGTTGTCTGGAAGTAGGAAGTCTAAGGGCAGTCTAGGTTTGAATGTCAGTTGCAGACTGTTAGGACTTGTCCCGGTAGCACTGTGTACAACGTTGTTATATAGACTGGCGACTAGAGCAAGCTTTTCGTCCTAGTCTACCTGATTGGGCTTGATGTAGTGCCTCAACAGGTGTTGCACAGCGCGGTTCATTTGTTCAGCCTGGCCATTAGCTTCTGGATGATTTCCAGAAGTCATCTGCAGTTGAGTTCCTTGTTCAGTTGCAGCGGCCTTCCACAATTCACTCGTAAACCTGACGTCCCTGTCACCGATAATTGACTTCGGCAGTCCAAAGTCTCTGACCCAGTTCTCTTTAAATAACCTGATCATGTACTCGGTCTTTGCTGTTTCTGGCATAGCTATTAATCTAGCAAACTTACTAAACCTATCCACGATGACAAAGATCTGTCTCATCCCACTCGTGCTGGTGACCAGCGTATCCATGAAGTCCATGGACAAACTTTTACCCGGCCTTTCCGGAATCACAAGGGGCTTGAGCAGCCCAAGAGGAGCCTCAGTACGGGGCTTGTCTCTTTGGCATACTTGACAAGTTTTCATGTACAGCTGTGCATGTTTCATCATCGTGGGCCACCAGAACCGCTGCAGCAAGTTGGCTGCGGTCTTTTTGTACCCAAAATGGTCGGTGGCATCATGACACTCACCTAAAAACAAACTACGCAAAGACTCGCTATTTGGAACACACAAGCGTTTATTCCCTGCCTTCTCTAGGAACAGCAATCCATTGGTTAACTCAAACTCGGCGGAGGTCTTCTTATCCTTCGCTTCTAGTCTGCGTATGATCTCAGACATAAACTGGTCCTGACGATAGGCTTCCACAAAAAACTGAGTAACATCGTCCGTCAGATCGAACTCAGTAATCAGCGCACCTAAGAAGTCCGGTCTGCACGATAAGGCATCAGCAACCTTGTTGTACTCCCTTTTGAGATACTGAGGGTCAAAGTGATATTGCTCAATGACTTCGATCCATCGCTTGAGAGCATCTGAGAGTACCGGTTGTGTTCCTTCTCATAAGTAGACTTAGCCAACTTCTGAGACGGCATTTTCTTAGACATGTACTCAACTAGCCTCAACTTGGGCCCCTCCTGCTGCGCAAGCACGGCGCCAATGCCATATTGGCTAGCATCCGTGGTTACTATAAATGGCTTATCAAGATCGGGTAACTTCAAGACTTGATAGTGCGTCTTTAGATGTCTGAAAGCAGCCTCGCACTCATCTGTTCACTCCCACGGGGTGTCAAGGCGGGTCAGATCAGTCAAAGGAGCGGCCACAATGCTATAGTTCTTTACAAAAGTCCGGTAGTAGCCTGTTATTCCTAAGAAAGATCTCATCTCAGTCACAGACTGAGGTCGTGGCCAATCACGAATGCTGGCCACCTTCACGTCATCGGGCTTCAACCCTTCCGCGGAGATCTCATGACCCAAGTACAAGATACGGGTGCGGCCAAACTCGCACTTTTCACCGTTGATCTTGAACTTGTGCTATCGCATGCGACTGAGAACTTTGTCTAAGTGTGCTACGTGATCCTCGACAGTCTTACTAAAAATAAATATGTCATCGAGGTACACGACGACAAACTTATCCAAGTAGTCATGGAATATCTGATTCATAGCGTGCTGAAAGGTGCCAGGAGCATTGCAAAGGCCAAAAGGCATCACCACAAACTCGTACAGACCGTACCTGGTCTGAAATGTGGTTTTGTGTTGATCCTCGGGCCGGATTGCAATCTGATGGTACCCGGACTTCAGATCTATTTTACTGAAGTACTGACACCCTTGCACTCTATCTAACAGATCATCGATGCGCGGTAGGGGCTCTCTGTTCTTCACAGTGATGACATTGAGGCCCCTATAGTCAATGCACATCCTTAGAGTGCCCTCCTTCTTCTTAGGTACGAAGAGTACTGGAGATCCGTAAGGAGAGACACTCGGCCGGATCCAACCCTTCTCTATGAGTTCCTTGAGTTGGCGGCGAAGCTCATCAAGCTCGCCTGGAGACATCCGATAGATCCTACCCTTCGGAATACTAGACCCTGGGATAATCTCTATCGCGTGGACGACCTCCCTCTCAACAACCCCTGTCGACTCTTCAAATAGATCAGGGTACTTAGCAACTACTCCCTCTATCTCTGGCGGCATTTTCACCGGCTCGCCTGCAGCAGAGACATAGACTAAGTACATACCCTCCTCCTGATGTTGCTTATAATAATTATAGAACGCGGCCGCACACATGCACCCATAGGACTCAATCAGACTACTAGCTTTGAACTTATGTAATCTGGCGGTCCCTCCACCTGGCAACGTGTGTTTGACCACTTTTCGGTCCCAGTCAAACTGGGGCTGTGCTACAGAGAGGTAGTACATACCTAGTAACATGTCCATTGGGAGCTCGTCACTCACCAGGAATGAGACACGATGTCTCAAGTCCCTTCCCTCGTACGGAAAAACACACTCTACATCATGGAGGTAGTCATTAACTACCATGCGCTGTTTGTTGGTACAGGTCGACTCCACAGGTCGACTCAGGCGATGCACTTGCCCCTGTAAGCGCAGCCTCTCAACGCACGCGCGGCTAATAAAGTTCCTAGTCGAGCAAGTGTCGTAATAGGCCCCGGCCTTGCGGCCTCCTATAATTACCTCGCTGACAAACATTTCACTCTCAGGGGCTTTAACTAACGCTGTCCAAGAAGCTAGTGGATCTGATCTAGACCACTCATGCTCTAGCTCCTCTAAGGATTCAAACACATTCATCGAACAGAAGGTCGATGGGTTTGAATGTGTTTGCGGGACGACTGGAGAGTCTGTAGCTTGGGCCATCTCTCGCGAAGGTGAGGGTGAATCCACCATCGCGACCGTAGTAGGAACAACTACTATCCCTACTGGCCCGACGTGTTTCCCGGAGCACTGCCTGAAGAACTAGCAATGTTGCTGCCAACAGGTTGAGAGGATCCTACCGCCGACCCCATAGTGGGCGGGATCTTCTCGGTGACCTTCCTATTACGRCACTTGTACATGCTATGACCATATTGGCCACACTTGATACAAGCTTGCCGTGCCCACCGATCTCTCCACACGTCCTCAGATAGACCCGCTTTCTCCCATGGAGGAGCATTGGGGTCTGTTTGACTCTTCGACCGGGATCCCCTAGGGCGTCTACCGGTCCCTTTACCTTTTTGTTGGGTTACGRCGGCGACTACTCCACCCTCTGAAGTATCGCCCCCTGCCTCTGCACCTACTCCCTCCTGGAGGTTGCCGTCCAACTCGATGGTTGAACCATCATTGTCGACAAACATTAAGCGACCCTTCGCCTTCCAGTTGGGAGGCAGTGTCTTCTTTTTCCCTTCCGTAGTGGGTGTCTGTCCATGCCCTATCTTTGCTTCAAGGTCCAGGGCTACCTTGCTAAACGAAGCAAAGTTGTGCACATTCATGTTGGCCTCTTTTGCCAACTGGTTCCTGAGAGGCTGAGATAAGCATCTCAAGTACGAAGTTAACAGGACCTGGGGGTCATAGCGTACCCCTGGAACACAAATCAAACGCTCTACAGCGTCGATCGCATCCCTTACTGACTTAAACTGTCGGGTGTGCAGTGTCAGGATCGCATCAGTGGCCTTTTGAACCTCCTGAGGATCATGCCACCTTTCTTCCACCATTCTTAGGAAGTCCTTCAATTTCTGAGAGGCTGCCCAAGAGCGGAAGTCATGACCGTACCCCTGGAGTTGCACTAACCCACTCCACCATCTCGCTGCACTACCCTCCAGGTAGGAAGCAACCACAAGCACTTCTTCGTGTGGCAAGGTGAGTTTACACCTGACGTAGAACGGCACGGCCCTCAACCATGTGTCGAGGTCCTCGCCTCTCTTATCCCCTGTAAAAGGTTTGGGAGCGGCGATGGCCGTCTTTGGAACCTACTGTGTCTGTCCCGGTCCCTGCATCATTCCAGGCTGTGGACCCGGTGAAACAGGTTGCTGTGCTAGCTGCTGGGGCTGTGTGCCCTGAAGCTGCACTGGCTGCGAGACAGCAGGCTGCGTGGTGATTGCAACCTGTGACGGACTTGGAGTGAACACTGTCTGAACAGGAACCTGTAAACTACTCCCTGTTGTTACCCCTCCTGACAGAGGCATGCCCAGGGAAACGATAGCAACCGATGAAGGGGCTACATATGGGGATACCCCAGTCACCGGTGGAACAGAAAGAGGAGGATATGGCACGGGCCAGGCACCAGGCCCTGCTGGTGATGGTGCTGCCTGAGCACGGCCTGCCAACACGGCTAAGCTTTATTGAATGTCCTGAAGGATGGTAGTTTGATGCTTCTGCATCTCAATTACGCCTAGTAGGGCCCTCCTAACTACCTTCACATCATCATTCATATGCGTCAGGTTCATCGTCTCTAACTCCTCTATGTCTGCCCCTCTCTGTTGCATCCTGGTTCTTCTTCTAATCATCATCTCTTTTTCCCTTTTTATCTGTCCTAATGCCTCCTGTAACTGTGCCTCTTGCAGGGCTGCCTGCTGGATGGCGACATCCTCTGGGGACAACACCGCGGGCTGGCTTGCCATTAAGCCAGTGGACTGACTCACGGTCTGCACGACCGTGGACCCGGCGGTACCGGAACTACCGGCTTGGGAAGTCTGCTGCGCAGACGTGCTCATGGCTGTGGTAGCCATGGCTGCTATAGCACTGGCCTCGCTAGCAAATGCCCTGCTGGCCTCGACTGCTCTAGCCCTCCTCTGCTGCTGCCTCTCCCTCTGCCGGCGGAACAGTTCCCTATCACCCTCCGGTCCTAAAGACACGTGGGATACCGGTCCTCTAGCCGATGGTAAGGTCATGCGGTCGTCCTCTCCGGTGTCCTTCACGTCGCTCATAGGCTACAGCACTGTGCACTGTCCACACTAGATCATTCTAGATGCCTACCGCACCATAGTACACAGACCAACTAATTAGTGGTGGCTAGTTTCAACAGATCTCATTTGGGGTCAACAGGTAAGTCAGATTCCTACTGTCAATACTATTTTTAGTAAGATTAGTTCTCGAACAGAAGAAGCATCAGGGATAAACAATATTCTAAACTAATGTTATCTGTCAGATGTCACATGGCTGTCCATCTAACTAATCAAAAATAAAAATAATGTTGACTATCTGGGTCTGTTCATAACATGGTAAAAACCCAAACTTATCACATGAAACCTACCCCTCCCTTTGTTCTTCTCAAAGTCACGGTGTCACGTTTCTTTGCATCAGAAGCCAAGCGTGTCTCAAAGGTTTGCAATCCGGTCCCACCCCTGTGCCCCGGGTTATCGCCGAGCAAGGTAGCCACAACACTCTTATTTACCCTCGTACGCCGACGAGCCTTCCACTCGGATGATCTGGCTGATCAAAAGGCAATTTAACGTCCGCCCCCGAGTGACATCAGGAATTATTTTACGTCGCAGCAGGACGATGATCACAGCCAGATCAGAGCGGAGTCCCCAGCCAGAAATGTTTATAGACGGTCTGGTATGCATCTGTAGAGGCTGCCACACTCGAGTTAACCCCTATCATGCGCAAGCAGCAGAACCAATGACTTGCAGCGAAGCATGCGTGTACTACACCCAGTGGGTTGGCATGGTGACCGTGACCCAGTGCTTCGTCCAGGGCCCTTCAAGAAGCTCCGCCCGTCTTCCCCCAGATGCTCCACGTGAACAATCACGACTCTCAAGGTTGAGCGCACACGATACCTCACGATGAGAGGACTCTCAAGACAGAACTCACAACCTCACGGTAAGAAATGATGATGAGGGTAGATAAGGTTAAGAGTAACGTACCTCGTTCATGCTGCCCCCAACCACAGAGATAATCTCACCAGATGACCTGAAGATGATTGCGATGACCAGTCACAGCATCGGCACAACCAGCATTTCGCCGTTCCACCTCAGCCTCAATCACCCAACAAATAGTTCTCATCACATTGTGAACACCCAATATTTACACCTTAGCCTTCCAGGCGATGCCCCTCACCACCTGGGTCGCCTTCACACTCATCTCCACCCTCTTCACTACACACCACTTACGGCCAAACTCTTCCAGCAGACCGCATGTATGTACCGTATAAGGTAGAAGACAAGCGCCAGATGAGCGCAATCGTACCATGGCTCTGATACCAAATTGCAAGGAAGATGAGCATTAGCGAACTTCAACAATCAAACAGCATCATACATATGAGCCCAGATAGTCTTGACCTCGAACCACAGCAGACTTGCATCACGAGATACACCAAATAAGAACACACCAAGAGTTCAAAATTGACAATGTTGAAGTAGTCCCATTATCATCAACTACGAACCAGAGTTGATATCCTATTGGCGCTCGACGCCCAGACTACAGGTAGTAGATCCTATCTAGCCTATACTACGAAGCAGAATGATGACATCAACA